ACATTGATCAAGAAATTATTCAATGAAAAATATACTGATGGCAGTATTAGAAAGCACATTTTGAAGATGAGCAAACACGGCTTCGAAGCTTAAAGTCAATGGATTTTGGGCTCAAGGATGAGTTTCTGATTTATTTGGTTTTTGCTTCCTTGCCAAAAGAATATGAAACCTTTGTTGTTAACTACAACATGCAGCTCGACAAGTGAGACATAGAAAAGCTCATCGCAATGTGTGTTCAAGAAGAGGAAAGGCTGAAATCCTTACAAGGTGACTCTGCTAACCTTGTCAAGGACAAGAAAAAGAACTTCAATAAGAATGCCAAACCTTAAGGAAAAGCTCTTCAGACTGAGCACCATCAGAAGAACAACAACAATCAAGTTGAGAAGGATCAGTACAAATGGTGCAACAAGCATGGACACTATCAGAGGGATTGTCTAGACTTTCTGAAGAGCCTGCTGAAGAGAGGTGAGGATTTCATTACATTCGTAGATGAATCCCTATATTTAAGTTATGCAAAATCTACTTTGTGGATTGATTCAGGTGTAACTGTTCATGTTGCAAATTCATTACAGGGATTCCGTACGAGGAGGACCCTGCAAAGAGGAGAAAGAAGAATTAAAGTAGCAAATAAAGTTGAAGCTCAAGTTGAAGCCATTGGAGATCTTTCTCTAGAATTAGTTGATGATTTTCTACTTAAGCTTTCAGATGTTCTATTTGAACCCTCTTTACGAAGAAACTTAATAAGTGTGTCACGTTTAGATGATGATGGATATGATTGCCATTTTGGTAATGGAAAATGTTAGATTGTTTATAATAATAAATGTGTTGGTCTTGCCTTCTGATAAGATAAGCTTTATTTATTATCACTTTCTGAGAATGTGAATGATGTAAGTACTGAGAATGAGAATGCTTCCTCGTCTATGAATGCAACAAATAAGCGAAAGAGAGTACATGATGTATCTTCAAAATTATGGCACCGTCGTTTAGGCCATATTTCAAGAGGGAGAATAGAGCGATTGATTAAGAAATCAATTCTTCCGCCCTTAGAATTTTTAGATTTAGAACAATACATAGATTGTATAAAAGGAAAGTATGTTAAGAAAATAAAGAAAGATGTCAAACGAAGCGCAGGAATTTTAGAAATAGTTCACATAGACATCTGTGGTCCTTTTTCTGTGAAGAGTGTGGATGGTTATGATTCATTTATAACATTCACATATGACTATTCTCGTTTTGGCTATATTTATCCAATTAAAGAAAAGATTGGAAGCATTAGATAAATTTAAAATATTCAAGGCTGAAGTAGAGAATCAGCACAACTTAAAGATTAAGGTAGTAAGGTCCGACCGTGGGGGAGAGTACTACGGTCGAAACACCCCATATGGCCAAGTTCCTGGACCTTTTGCAAGGTACTTACAGGAAAATGGTATAGTAGCCTAGTATTCTACACCGGGTGAGCCTCAGCAGAATGGAGTAGCTGAAAGACGTAACCATACCTTAATGGATATGGTGAGAAGCATGATAAGTTACTCTATCTTACTAATAAGTTTATGGATGGAGGCGTTAAAACCGCCATTCATATTCTTAATCGAGTACCAAGTAAGTCGGTGCCCAAAACACCGTATGAGTTGTGGACAGGAAAGGAACCCTCACTAAATTATTTATGTGTGTGGGGTTGTCCTGCTAAGGCAAAAGTATTTAACCCAAACATAGGAAAGCTGGACTCCAAGACAGCCAGCTGCCATTTCATTGGCTATCCAGAAAAGTCAAAAGGTTATAGCTTTGATTGTCCTAACAGACAAATGAAGTTTGTAGAAACAAGACATGTCTTCTTGGAGGATGATATGATCAGGGGGAGCATGGTAGCGTGAGAAATTAGTTTTGAAGAGAAGCGGGTATACATGCCCACTCCTATGGTTCAAGAATCATTTTTCACGCTACCTGTTGTTGATGTACCAACAGCGCAAGACACTATAGCAACAGCACCTGTTGTTAGTTCTTCTGTGGCAACAATGAATGAACATGAGGAACCTGTCCTTCAGGATCCCATAGAACACGTTGTCACACATGAGAAAGAGCAACAACAACCTCATATAGAACAAGCGTCATCTAACGAGGCCCCTAGAAGGTCTCAAAGAGTTAGGAGATCAGCCATTCCTGATGATTATGAAGTTTATAAAAGTGAGGAATTTCAAATGGAGGGTGATCCCACCTCATTTGAAGAAGCCATGAGAAGCACTCATTCATCCAAGTGGCTTGAAGCCATGGAAGATGAAATGAAATCAATGAAAACCAATGGAGTTTAGAAATTAGAAACAATTCCTAAAATAGCCAAGACAGTAGGTTGCAAATGGATCTACAAAACTAAATATGACTCCAAAGAGAATATAGAAAGGTTTAAAGCACGACTTGTGGCGAAAGGTTTCACACAAAGATAAGGCATAGACTACAATGAGACATTTTCTCCAGTCTCATGTAAGGATTCTTTTAGAATCATAATGACGCTTGTAGCACATTACGACTTAGAATTACATCAGATGGATGTAAAGACGATATTCCTAAACGGGGATTTGGAGGAAAACGTTTACATGGCACAACCGAAAGGTTTTGTTGTGGAAGAAAAAGAACGCATGGGGATGCCGCCTGAAGAAAATCCATTTATGGATTAAAGCAAGCTTTAAGACAGTGGTATTTGAAGTTTGATAGTACAATAAAAAAGTTTGGGTTTCAAGAAAATGTAGAGAACAATTACGTTTATGCAAAGTTCAAGAATAGGAAATACATTTTCCTAGTCTTGTATGTGGATGATAACTTGCTCGCTAGCAGTGATGTTAATCTACTATTAGAAATAAAGAAGTTCTTGTCTTCAAAGTTTGATATGAAGGATCTCGGTGAAGCTTCGTTCGTTCTAGGAATAGAGATTCACCGAGATAGAGAAAAGGGGGTTTTAGGACTATCACAAAAGGCATACTTAGAAAAAGTTCTAATAAAATACAGTATGCAAAATTATAAGTCATCACCTGCTCCCATAGTCAAGGGCGACAGATATGGGGAATTTCAATGTCCTAGGAACCAATATGAGATCGATCAAATGAAAGCGGTTCCATATAGTTCAGCTATCAGAAGTTTATAGTATGCTCAAGTGTGTACTCGACCTGACTTAGCATTTTTTACCGGGTTGCTTGGCAGATATCAGAGTAATCCAGGAATAGAATATTGGAAATTAGTAAAGAAAGTTTTGCATTACCTGCAAGGTACGAAGGGTCTCATGCTAACGTACAGAAGATCTGATTCCCTACACATAGAGGGGTATACAAATTCTGATTATGCGGGAGATGAAAGAAAGTCCACGTCAGGATACATATTCACTCTCGTAGGAGGAGCTATATTGTGGAAAAGCTCAAAGCAAACCATCACTACATCGTCCACAATGTGTGCCAAGTTTGTAGTATGTTATGAGGCCACAGGGCAGATGAATTGGCTAAAGCAATTCATGCCCGGGTTGAAAGTGGTAGACGACATACATAAACCACTTAAGTTATACTGCGATAATAATCCAACAGTATGTTATGCTCACAACAATAAGTCAAGTGGTGCTACCAAACACATTGACATAAAGTATTATGTTGTGAAAGATAAAGTCCAGGATCATATAATTAGTCTTGAGCATATAAGAATAGAAAAAGATGCTCGCGGATCCACTTACAAAAGGCTTACCACCCAGTGTGTTCAGAGAACACGTAGCCGACATGGGTTTAAGGGAAAGCCTATGATTCCTAGACAATAAGGTTCTAGTTAAGAATCTATTTCAAAACAGAGACGTGCATTGTAGTTGTTTAATCTAATGGCAAGAGACCGCGACGATGAGGCACGCTCTATGCACTAATCTATGATGGAATGAGAACAAATGAAAGTAAGTTAAGTTTAAGTTATAAGTGAGATCAAGGGGGAGAATGTTAGTTGATCTCCACTAATAGGCCCATGGCCCTTGGATCCGTGCCGTAATCGGGGGCGCCCAACCCTAATATGGTTGGTGGGCCCCAGTCGCACATCGCCATAAATAGGAGGTGGGGGCCGGGGCGCTCGAGTCATGAGGTTCGCCTGAGCCGTCTAGCACCCCACCTACAGTCCTAAACCCTAATCGATCACAGAGGGGGCGCTGCCAGCGATGGGAAACGCTGCCACCGCCTCTGCATCACGCCGGAGGACTACTTCGGCGCCGAGGTGCCTATGACCTCTACACCGACCCCGGACAACACCGCTACTGCACCGCCACCGGGTTATCGCCAAGCACTGCGATGGTGAGCCCATCTTCATCCAAGGTGGCTGATGGTTTGCATCCCTTCGTCCCTCTCTCTCTCATTCTATTTCTAATCCAGTACTAGTAGATATCCTAGGACTCACGGTTTATTCAAAGTGCAAGTAGACATGCTAGATTTATGCCTAGAGATCCTGTTTTAGTTCAACACTCGTGACATCCACTCTTTTCTCAAGATCAGTGCAGTTCCAACTCTGCAACACATGTGTGTTGCCCTTTGCTGTTGGCAACTATGGAAATGCAGAAACGCTTTCATCTTCCGTAATGAAACCATGACTCTGATAGCTGTTGCTCTCTTGTGCGGCTGAAGCAAAAAACTAGAAGGCAAGGATGTCAAGGAGGCAAAAGCCAATAGCCAAAAAAATGGTGCAAGCTGTTTGAAGACACAGCACAAAGATTATGTAGAATTTGAGCAAAGTTTGTCTTGGACCTTCAGGTCCAACCTCCCTTTCAGCTATTTCTAATGTATGATCTCCTCAAATGATGTAAAGCCTGCCAGGCAATCATGAAACATTATAGGCGTAAAAACATGTTTTAGTACAGGCTAGACGCAAGAGGGCAGAGGCTACAACAACCAGTATTCCGGTAGTCAGCAAAGAACATGCTACAACAGTTCATACTTTCATCAAGAAAATGAAGTGAACGAACAAATGTAAAGGCATAACTGAGCACAACAACAGTTTCAGTTAGAGAGAACCTTCCCAGAAGGTCTCAGCTTGCTGCAGGAGAAACCATCAAGAACAAGCTTATGGATAGCATCTCTTAGGGCCTCATACTCTTCCCTGACATTGTAAACCTGATGTGAGATTCTCACATACCCAGTCACTTGATCGCCCTTGGCATCCTTGGCCATCTCTTGTCCTTCTTCAATGCTTCTTGAGTTGTGGAATGTTGGCACCTCGACCTTGAATTCGTTCCTCAGCATGTCCCTCACTCTCATCGCATCACCATTGCTCTCAATGCCAAGGGAACCAGGCAGCCCCACCATAGCCATGCTTCCGCACATTTCCGGTGGCGAGCCAAGAAACGTCCCCCATGCCTCGGCGAGCATCGTGCCCATCTCGATCACCTTGTCATGGTTCCGTCTGCTTATCCCCTCGATGCCACCCTCGAACCGGCTCATGAAGTCAATGGCATCAGGCACAACGAGCTGGGCACTGTAATCCCGCACCCCAATCCAGGCGCTCTCCATGGGCAGCCCGTTGCCGTACTCGCTAGACACAATGGGGTGGTGGAGCTGTGAGGCTATAGGGTCATCCTTGCGGATGTGCAGGAAGGCCACGGCGGAAGGGCAGAAGAACCACTTGTGGAGGTTGCTGGTGTAGAATTCGGCGCCGAGGTCGCGCACGTCGATGGGCACCAGGCCGATGGCGTGCGCACCATCGACGAAGACCTTGTCCACGCCCTCCTCATGGCAGATGGTGACGAGCTCCTTCACGGGGAGGAGGACGCTGGGCATGGAGGTGATGTGGTCGATGACGGCGAGGCGGACGCTGCGGCCCCCGGCCTTGGCGAGCGCGAGCGCGGCGCGGAACTCGGCGACAACGGCGCCCGGCGAGGCTATGGGGAACGGGAGCAGCACCTCAATGATGGTGGCCCCTGCGCGGACCACGTACGCGTGGATAGAGTTCTTGACGGAGCTGTAGGTGTAGTGGAGCATCAGCACCACGTCGCCGCGCGCGAAGGTGCCCTCCGCGAAGCTCCAGGCCACGTGCTGCATGATGATGGCCACGGCCATGGTAGCGTTGTCGACGAGGGATACTTCGGAGGCATCACACGCCCCGACGACAGCCGCCACGGCGGCACGCGAGTGGGCGAGCCCCGTGTAACAACCTAAAAATCCACATACCAAAAATCCCAACTACAAAATTTTTCTTTCAAAACCCCATGTGATGATGAGTGACATTTGTAGAAGCTAACCCTAAATGTTGCATTAGTCGTAATCCAACTAAACAAACTCATAAGCATAGCATGTCACTTGTTGTATATGTGTGTTTAAAATCCCTAACACATACATTCCTGCATACATTTTAATTCTAAACAAGTGAGTTGCCTTTTATTGATCTTTTGTTGTGCAAATAAAAGTGACCACTTATCATTAATTTATTATGCAATAAATTAATCACCTAAGTACCACCTAAGTATGTGGGCCCCACCAACCAGCCCTAAAGCTCCACCCTTAATCAAGGTGCACACTTGTACAATGAAACTAAATAAATCAAACCCTAACCAAATTGGCAACAAATAAAAGAGAAAGGAAAGAAGAGGGAGCAGCAGCAGCCCAGGCCTGCTCGGCCTTGTGACCCAGCCCGGCCGAGCCCGCCTGCCCTCCCACTCATGCACGCGGCCCACGAAGCCGGCCCAGCAACACCCTACCGCCCCCGCGCGCACAAGCCGCTGACGAGCCGGACCCACCCATCAGCCGTCACGCACCGCACGCCGCCGCATCAGGACAAGCTAACAAACGGGCCCCCTCTGTCAGCCACCAAGCTACAGCGTCATCGTCTTCCCCACGCTCCCTCCATCACGTGACTAGGGAGCCGACCGTGGAGCAGGCGTGGGCCCGGGATCACGCACATCGCATGACCCTGTCCCCCACCTTAGCGCCGCGCCCACGCAACCGCCCCCGCACGCGAGAGCCGTCCGATGCGCTCGGCGCATCACCAGCCGTTCCGCGATCTGCCATGGATGAGCATGGAGCTCGGCCTATAAAAGGAGGACCTCGAGACCTAGCCCTCCATTCACCTCGCCGCCACCGTGTGGTTCACACCAGCACACTAAGCCGAGGGACGAGAGGAGAAGGAGAGGCGCGGAGAAGGACGCCGCCGCCGGAGTAGAGGAAGGCACCACCGTCTTCTTCCATGAGCCGGCGTAGCACCACGCACCGCTACACGGCCGCACCATCATCACCACACCGCCACTCCGCACCGCCAGCACACCGCGGTGAGCACCTTGGCTGAGACCTCTCTAAGCCCATCGGGAATGCCATCGCAAGGCACACGCTCATCGCACTCGCAACACCCCATGGCGAGGTCACCACGGTGCGGTTACGCGCCATCGCGGCCAACACCGACCTCGCTACGAGCTTCGCCAAGCCCGCGAACAAGTGATGCACCCATTTAGTGATGAGGAGAGCATGGGAGAGACCCTGACCATGGGGCACGCCGGAGGTACCCTACTGCGGAATGCCGCCGCCATGGTGCGGCCACCGCATGCGCATTCGGCCGCCTCGCTGGACTAGGAGTGGCCGTAGAGCACCGCCGTGACACCTGGATGATAGCCGTATAGACCAAGAAGCCGTTAGCCGACCGTAGCGCCTTGGCCACGTGCATCGGACCTCGGGCGAAGCTCCACCGTGCACCACCACCGTGTGTGGACTCCACCACGCCTTATGTTCATCGTCGACGCTACACTATGCCTCCCCGCTAACTGTCTGAAGGAAGACGGGGCACTAGGACCCCTGGAATTGCCCCTAGATGCCTCACCGACGAGCACCGCCACGCCGAGCCACCGTTCACCGTGGCCAGAGCCCTAGCCATCACCCCGACCCCACCGTCGCAGTCGCCATGGCATGGGGAAGCTATTGCCTACCCTAATCGGACGCTAGCGCCGCCGTGGGGGCTCGCCGGTGACCTCACCGCCGGCGGGAGCCCCGTCGGGGAAGAGAAGGGGATTTTCCCCTCGCCGGCCACACGTCCGTGCACTTGGTGCACGTGAACCGAACCCTGGGAAGGAGTAAGCAGACCAAGTCCTTCATAGACCGGCTCTGCGGTCTATGGACCAATGCAGGCGGGTTCACCATGAACCGCACCTCACCTGCGCCCGTGGACCACGGCCCGTTAGTGGCCCAATAAGACGACGTGGCTGCGCCACAGCATACTACGTGGCGGGCCAAGCCAGGCCCGAATCCAAGCCCGTATCGAGGCCCAACCGGCCCAGTTTGGACTCGGCCTGGTTGACCGTTGACCGGTCAACGTTGGTCGTTGACCGGGCCCCACATGTCAGCGACACAGAGACCCTGGACCCACATGTCAGGAGGCGACTTCGTGATGACATCAGCGGGACCCACCTATCAGCCGCGGTTTAGCTCTGATGACGGCATGCTGACGTCAGCATGCCACGTGAACCAGTCACAGTGTGACACGTGTTAGCCCTGAATTAATCAGCCTTTAATATTTTCAGAAATGGATTTAATCTTTGGAAATTCATAACTAATTCATACGACCTCAGAAAAATATGAAATCAGGACCAAAATTCATCTAAAATCGAGCTCTACGCAATAAACCCATGTTTGAGTGCATTTGGCTCTTTTGAATTTTCATTGCTTCTTTGTGCTATTCTATAGACGTCACTAATGCGACTATAATTCGATCGTATGTAGACTCGGAGGAGAACCAGACGGACGAGGATCGTGAGTACCGTGAGGAGTGCAGGGATGACTTCCCTGAAGGTGCCATATCCCACCCAACCTCATTGCACCTATTACGCATGGCTAATATAGAACTGTTATTGCTTTACTATATTGTTATATTCACACTATGATAGGACTTGCATGGTAGTATGCTTACTTAATGGCCTTTACCTTGACACAACCTTACCCCTGCTTACCCTGCTATTAGGCTAGACACACGCTTGCTGCTATATTTCATTGCTTATTACTTCTACTACGCTTGTACTATATTGATGCATGGTGGAAACTGGTGTTATCTGGACTATGGGGAGAGTGTTGTGTGTGTGACTTGGGTGCGTGGAGGGTGAGGGTTGTGTCAACCAAGTTGGAATATACGATGAGCCTGGGGCAAGTCTTGCCACGGGGTGCTACCTGGGCACCCCAAGAAATGGATACCTGTGGTGGGTAAATGGTATATGAGGTGGCCCTGGGTGTGAACCTGTGATAGGAGGATCCCGGGGTGTAGGTGTTGTGGTGGCACGGTAAATGGAAACCCTGATGAAGACATTCTGGCTTGGTCATGCCTAAGGACTTACTAGTACTCAGATTCACCGGGAAGCCTTACGTACCACTCACCCTATATGGTGCGGGACGGCCGGACTACTTGGTAGGATATTGCCACTACTGCTAGGTTGATAGCGGACAGTGCGAGGAGGTACGGGGAGCGGAGGATTCCCCCACAACCTTCCGAGACTTCATGGAGACCTTGTGGACCCAGCTCATGACTCACAGTTTTAGCCACCCCAGACTAGACTTGGGGTGTACCAGGGCTGAATGGTAGGGTGGCATTATCCTAGGTTAGCAAGTGGCCAGAATCAGCCTAGTTGACGACGGTCAGCGAGGAAGGCAGATCTTGTGGTTATGTAAAACCTCTACAGAGTGTATGGTTGATCGATTGATACATATGCTGACTTGTCGGCTATGGACCTTTCCTAGGTTTTGCTTAAACTAGATAGTAAGATGAGTCCACTTCTTCCCCCTGTGAGTGAGTGTTCGATTGTAGCCAGGGGCTACAGGCCATGAGATAGTGCCAAGAGGGAGTTGACCTGTCGACTGAGCGATTGTATGGTGGTGATGTGGTGATGGTGTGGAGATGGTGGTATATCGATCCCAGGATCGAAACCTGGCTCTGGACAGAAATGTGGTGGAATAGGTGTGGGAATGGTGTTAAAACTTGACCAACTATTATTATATACTTGATATGCTAATACATAGGAAATCCCAACCATACAGGTTCCTTTTGATTATATCCAACTTGCATCCAATTTCCACAAAGCAATGCTCATAGGGTGGGAGTGGCCAGTACAAATCGTACTGATAAACTTTGGCACACAGGTTCTGCTGAGGAGTATAGCTCTGAGGAGTTTGATGGTTGAGGGGTTCGTTCCTACGCTCGAGTTGGGCGATCTTATCTTCAAGCTGTTCTGAATGAATGCTATTTTTGATTCCATCAATGCGGCGATGTAATAATTTATATAATTCCACACTATTTGTACTCTGATATTACGTTGTATGGATGTGATATTCGACTGGAATTTGGGTAATATGATCTACAACGGTCTTATTACACTTTGACTCTGTGGATTTTCCTTTGCGAAATCAGGTTGTTTCAGTTGGCATCAGAGCCATACTTGACCCTAGGACGAAACCCTCAGAAATGGACAATAGAATAGGACGTGAACAGCCCTTCTTTCAGTTATATACCGACCCTGCATTTACTTTTATGCAAGGCTTATCTATTTATTAACCTGCTAACACCTGGTTCCTTAAAACATGCAGATGGCAACGAACATCAAATGGCCACCTCTAGGACCGCTACCTCTAGACCACGCCAAGCTTACCTTCGACCTACGTGAGCTCGGGGGTTTTGCACAGACCCTTTGTCGAGTTCTCGTCACGTTAGGAGTCCCTGACGAGCTTGTCAAGGTCACCTGCACTAGGAAGTCAGCTCAGGAAGGAGGAATCGAAGGACAGGTTGTCACCTTAGTCGAGTTCCTAGCTAGCACTAGCTTACCTTCTGTCCCAGATTTCACCGAGTTGACTATAGAGGACATAGTTGAGGGGGGACTGCGAGCTGTCTCACACAAGGCACTTCGTAGAGTGATGAGGGACCACTACAAGCACCTGAAGACGACAGAGTTCCGTCTACTTCCCTAGGCCCTTGACCTCAGCATTACCCCTAGTGAGCAGAGTTTCACAACCGGCAGAGTTATCTTTGCCGAGGAGGACAGATGCCTTCGCGTCTCGGCTATCCACCTACTAGAGCAGGATATGTACGTGACCCAGCT